TCCCCTCAGCCTCCTTTTCTCCAGGCTCAACACCCCCAGTTCCCTCAGCCACAAGGGAACTCAGCACACTTGTGCTCCAGACCCTTCCCCAGCTCTACTGGTCTAAGGAGAAAACAGAGGGATTCAGAACTTGTCCTGGCAGCATTTCCCAGTCACATCCCTCATCTGAGCGATTGGTGTGAATTTAAAAGGCGAGATGCTGAGAGTGCGGGTCAGTGAGGGTGTCCTGTGCCATTAGCCACGGTGTTTGCAGCGTGTGAGCAGAGGCCGTGGTGCCGTGGTGCGTTCACACTCACTCACGCTCGCTCTGTAGGCGCAGTGGTGTACGGGGAGCCCATCTCCGCCAGCCTGGGCACCGACGGGTCGCACTACTGGAGCAAAAACTGGGCCAAAGCTGCAGCCTTTGTCACGTCCCCCCCCATCAGCCCGGACCCCACCACGCCGGATCATCTCTCCTCCCTCCTGTCCTGGTGAGTCCCGGCCACCCCGGTGGTGCCGTTCACAGCAGCAGCATCATCTGCAGAGCAGGGACCAACCAGAGAACACTTCTGCGCTCTGATTTTTTTCCTGGAAGGATAAACAGTTGTTAACAGAAGTGTTTCATGTCAGTGCATCTTACACAGCACATAAAGATATCTCAATATATTCAGTATTTTCTTAAAGAGACAATAAAACACGAGTGTAGCTCAGTCCACCACAGCCTTGCCATAAATCTGGAGGCATGCTCTTGGGTCGTCATGCCCAGTTCTCTTCTTGCCCTTCCCGCCAGCGTGGAGTCACCTCCTTCACCTGTGATAGCAGATAACATTTGGGTTTATGCAGGATCTTGGTTTATGGATTTAGGACCAGGGGAAATGGCAGGAAGATGTGGCGGGGGAGGGTGAGGTTGGCCATGAGGAGAAGGTTCTTGAGGCAGAGGGTGGTGGAGCACTGGAACAGGCTCCCCAGGGAGGTGCTCATGGCACCAAGCCTGACAAGATTCCAGCAGCATTTGGCCAAGGCCCTGAGGGACATGGTGTGAATGTTGGGATTGTCCTGTGCAGGGACAGGAGTTGGACTCCATCATCCTTGTGAGTCCCTTCCAGCTCACAACACTCAATGATTCTGTGATTTATTTATTTATCTATGTGTCCTTGCTTTAAAAGCAACCCTGCTTGGAGAACATTTCTTTAAAATAATCTGAGCTTCAAAACAAAGGTACAAAAATTAAAATACTGGCTTAAATGGTAAAAATAACGGCAAGTTTAGGAGAGAGAATATAAATGGTGCTTCTGAGGCTGCTGTTTACATCTCTTGGACGGTTCCAGTGCTGAATTCCTGTGTCAATCAGTACAGTGAGTGTCTGTAAAAGTTGCCTCTCAACCCACCTTGACTTCCTTTGGTATTTACAATAAGTCACCTGCCTTTAGAGCCATTGCTGGTGCCAGGCAGAGTGACCAGAAGCCCTGAGATGGTTGGTGCTGGAGGTGGGCAGGGCCAGGGTGGTGGTGATGGTGATGACGATGGTGATGGTGGTGGTGGTGGTGCCAAGAAGGCTGTTTGTGCCACCGGCGCCTCCTCTGACCTCCTCTGCTCTCCTTGGCCCAGCGGGGACCTGCAGGTTGTTGGCAGCGCCCATTGCACCTTCACCACTGTGCAGAAGGCTGTGGGGAAGGACAACTTCACCCTCATCCCTGAGGGGACCAACGGCATCGAAGAGCGGATGGCGATCGTCTGGGAGAAGTGTGTGGTAGGTACTAAACCAAAACCTTCAGAGTGTCTTCAAAAGCTTTGGTACGGGGATCACCCACCCCACTCTCACACAAGAAGGTCTCTCCAACACATTTTCCTACGGGTAAGATGTGATGTTCCTCTGCTCTGGTGCTTGCAGGAGGCCTGGGGAGGTGGATGGGGACAGGGTGTCTCTCCCTGGGTGGCCATGGAGGTGGCCATTCCAGCCAGCTCTGCTGGGCAGAGTTGCTCTCTCTCCCTGCTTGGCCATGCAGCTTTTCCTCCCATGGGGCACCCCAGGAGGCTCCAGCCCACACCCTGTGGAACTGACCTCTCTGTGCCGGCTTCCAGGAGCTTGGGAACCAAGGCACCCTGAAGGTAGTGCCTTAGGTAGGCTTTGTTCAAAGATAAATGGAATTTATCTGAAGATAGTGGGGGTTGGACTGGATGACCTTTAAAGGTCCCTTCCAACCCAAGCCAGTATGATTCTATAATAACTAAAGATGATAAATAGCACTATTTAGATTCACTTCTAGTCTTCTTCGTTGAAATATCCTCAACCATCTTTAGTGAATGTCAGATGCCTGTACAGGGATTTGAAACTTACTAGTGAAGGTCTTGTTTTTCAGAGACCTTAAATTTCACAGAGTCTAAGAAAAATAAAACCTATTGTATTATATAGCCCCCAGGGACAAGGCTGGGGCCCCGCATCTCCCTTTTCCCTGTAGCTGCAGCCTTGTTGCACGTGGACTCACATCGCCCCGTCAGGCAGTCAGATGCTGAGCAGGGCTCTGGCTGTGGGGACAGGCTGCTGCCCACAGCAAGGGCTGGGTGCATCTCCAGGGATGGTCCTTCCCTCCCTCCTTCCCTCCCTCCTTCCCTCCCTCCTTCCCTCCCTCCTTCCCTCCCTCTCCTTCCTTCCTTCCTTCCTTCCTTCCATTTCCCAGGTCCCTGGGAAGATGGATGAGAATGACTTTGTTGCCGTGACCAGTACCAATGCAGCCAAGATCTTCAACTGCTACCCCAGGAAGGGGCGCGTTGCTGTGGGCGCAGACGCAGACCTGGTTTTGTGGAACCCCAAGGCTATGAAAATCATCTCGGCAAAAACCCACAACCTGGTAACATGTTTTTTAAATTATTTTCTTGAGCTGATGTTAGCATCTGAGAAGAGAGTAGTCAAGCAGTGTGTTTCTGTAGATCACAAAGATCAGCTCGTTCACCGAGGGAGGAGCTGTTCTCCTGGATAAAGTGATGCAGGACCTTGCGTTTCCTTTTTAAAATACAACAAATGAGAATGTCCTTTGGTTACTGTAGAGCTGGGCCATTGGGAAGGGGTGGGACTGTGACCGAGACACTGCTCTGCTACACAAATTTTACAATCAATGTACTTGCTGTGGGCTAGAAAAATGTAAGTGCTGAACGTGTTTTAAGTATTAAACTATTAATAGTTTAATTATAAGCATTATAGTATGTATACATATATAGTTTAATTGTAAGTATTAAACTATTGATACAATTTAATGTACCAGCATCCCGCCCAAAGAGCCAGACCCACCCCTGCTCATGCTCCCACCCTCCGTGGACACTGCCTGTCCGTAGTGGGGACTCATTTGGGAGAGGTTCAGGTGCCCCTCGGTGGCACTTCAGCCGTGGTTTCCAGGCCATGGACATCCCCAGATTAATTTCCAACATGAGCCTCAGACAGAGAACTGTGGTTGAAAGAGAGAGGGTGGGTGAGGAATGTTGGTGACAGAGCTGATTGAAGTTACTGTAGAAACATTTTTGACCCATGGTTTTTTTTTTTCAACAAAGTGGTTTTTATTGAAGAAAATTATCTTTATGTTTGAAATATTCAGTTGGTTTCTTTAAAAAATAGAGACAGGTTTTTCTTTTGTTCCAGAAAATTCACTTTCGATTTTTTTTTATAATGCCACATTTTTTCACTGTAAACTTCATTTTTTTGATAGTTTGTTAGTGATAATAATGGGAGTATTTTAAGAATGTTAACATGATTTCACATTTCCCACAAAGCAGACGTGACTTTCCGTGCCTGTTTTGGTGGAAGACCTGCAGGGACTTGGAAGAAATGACAAGAACTTCTGTCTCCAAATGGAGAACTTAAGCAGAGCTCTTGTGGGGCTGAGAGAGAATTAATTGTTCACATATAGTACAAGTCTGGTGGGCTCCAGGAGAGCTGCACGTCTTCTGGGCAAGGACTGAGTGTGCCGAGGATTTAGGTTCTCCATCCCCTTTGTTTAGTTCATCCAATTAGAAGAATCTTACCCTTTGAAATGGGGAGGGGGGGTTAGTTAAGTACAACAGACTGTGCCCAAGGAGCGATGTACAAAATGGGGTTGTGTGTACAGTTGACTAGAGCATCATGTTCTCCTCTTAGAGCTTAACCATAGTGCATGTCTTGGTTTGGTCTTTCCAGAACGTGGAGTACAACATCTTTGAAGGCACAGAGTGTCACGGGGCTCCTACCGTGGTCATAAGTCAAGGAAAAGTTGTTCTTGAAGATGGAAACCTGTTTGTCACCCAGGGCTCAGGTCGCTTCATTCCTAGAAAGACATTCCCTGATTTTGTTTATAAAAGAATAAAGGCCAGAAACAGGGTAAGGAGAATTTGATTTGCAATAATCCCATATTTTTGTTGCGATCTCGCTGCATTATTGTGCTGCTGTTACGACAAGCCGGCTGCTAGAATAGGCAACAGAAACAAGAACGTTGCTAATGTCATTTCTTCTTAGGCCTTGGAAACTCGTAATGTTGTCCTGTAACTGCTTTGGTGCATGGCTCGGCATGTTCATCAGTAATGCTTACTGTGGCCAAGGGCAGGGAGTGAGGGAACAAGGGGTGGTGGCTTGAAAGTGGCAGAGGGGAGATGGAGCTGAGATGTGAGGAAGAAATTCTTTGGTGTGAGGGTGGTGAGACAGTGTCCCAGGTTGCCCAGAGAAGCTGTGGCTGCTCCTCCCTGCAAGTGTTGAAGGCCAGGTTGGATGAGGCTTTGAGCAACCTGGTCTAGTGGAAGGTGTCCCTGCTGCTGGCAGGGGGATTGGGGCTGGATGAGCTTTGAGGTCCCTTCCAACCCAAACCAGTCTGTGGTTCTCTGTTGAGTGTGGTTCTTGTTCATGTCCCTCACACCTCTGCTCACTCCCCACCACGCAGCTGGCCGAAGTCCATGGTGTCCCCCGAGGGCTGTATGACGGACCTGTCCACGAGATCCTTGTGAGTGCCAGAGCCCCAGCCGCGGCGACCAGGACGGCTCCCTGCGCAGGCAAAGCCCCGGCTCCTCCCGTGCGCAACCTCCACCAGTCGGGGTTCAGCTTGTCCGGTAGGATGGGGTCACCCCAAAGTCGGGGCTGCAGGGGTGGGGGCTGGCTGGCCTGGCTGGCACAAAGTCCTGGGCTTGTGTGTGTGGTGGGGCAAAGCTGAGGAACCGCAGAGGGTTGAGGCCACAATGCTGGGGAGCAGGAGGGGGAGGCTGAAGGTGAGGGTGTCACCACGTCCCTGCCCAGTCAGTGGGGACACTGTCAGGGGCCCTGGCTGCATCCCCCATGAGTTGGGGGTTAGAAGTGGTTGGGTTTTTAGAGATGAGCCAAATAACTCCGTTTTCAGAGAAAGACAATTCCTTTGGTCTTTCTGTGTAAGCGAGCGGGGATTCAGCATCATTCCGCTCAGCGTCCCGCAGAAGCCTGCCCGGCAGCTGTAGGGACCTTGGAAAGCCAATGCTCTGCCATCAAATGACTTTCGTAAGGTTGTTTTCTTAGCTGGTTGAAATCAGATGGATCATATATTGTTTAATAAAAGTACAAGGTCCCACATCTTATTATATAGAAACTGTTTATTTGCAGGAAAGTAATTTATAACGTTTTCCAGAAGGAAGTAATAACAAATAAAGACATTGGGGCAAGTAAAGCCATTCCCAATTGCACTGGGATAATTAGTGCCCAAAACAATATATAATGAAAATAAGAGTATTTCCCCCCCCAGGAAATGTTCTGTGGCTTGTGCAGTTGAAGCCATGGGGCTCCCCTGCCCGGCCCCCAGCAGACCCCATGCCTCTCCTCCTCCCTAGGGTCGCAGGCTGATGACCACATTGCCAGACGCACGGCTCAGAAGATCATGGCCCCGCCGGGCGGACGGTCCAATATCACCTCACTGTCCTGATGGGCACCCCAGGGCTTGCTTCCACCGTCCCCACCACTGCCGGGCGAGCTCGCTGGGTCCAGCTGGGAAGGGGACGGTGGGTCACCCTCCAGCTCGGGATGGAAATCGAGCCATCAACTGCCCCGGCCCCTTCTTCTTGTAGGTAGAAAATAGAGTAACCCCGAGAGGTAGTGCTCCCGTCTCCATCTCTCCCGCTCTGTGTCTCCTCAGTAGCTGCTCAGACCCCCTCACCCGGTGCATGCGGGCTCCTGGACGTGTGGGCTCCTGGACGCGCGGGCTCAGCCGTGCTGCTGCG